AAGGAACGTGTATAATATAATTTTTTTTGTGTTTTACCTTTTTTTATTTTTTATCATGTATATTTTTTTCTGCTTTATTGTAATCACTTATGTTATTTATTCTTACTCCTATTATTTTTAAAAAGATAAACTTCTAAACTTTATCACAAAAATAATTAGTTGATCTATTTCAAAATGTGGGCTCAATTGAACCAAATAAACACATTTAAAAGTAGGAAAAAAAGGTTTGTCCTTCTAGGCTTTGTTTGGGAGTTGGTTTTAGGAGGGAATGGAAAGGAAATGGAAGGTTTTAGTAAGTTCTTCCCTTGTCTGGGAGTTAAAAAAAAAGGAGGGAAAAAAAATTGGGGATTTTTACTAAACCCTACAAAACCCTCTTTCTTCTTAAAATTAAAGTTCCCCCCAATTTGGGGCAATGTTATTAAACCCGGCCCGATTATTGACCCGGTCGAGGTACTGGGTCACTGATTCAACCAGTGAATCACTTGTTCAACTGCATGACCCGGTAAGTATATGTAAATCTACAATTTATATTAAAAAAACTATAAATATACTTAAATACTTGTAAAAAAATATACCAATTTCAAATATTTTAATATAAAAATAATAAATTACACATCATTGCCCAACAAAAGATCAATCAAACATATAATATTTTTAGAATTTTTTTACTTTAAAATTTTTTGTTTTATGATTTTTTATCTTCTTTTCAATTTTAGGTAAAATTTTAATTTTAACTATTGTGGTAGGCACTCAATAAAATAATGTCTATCTATCTTAATATATAAAATCTTCATCCAAACTTTGGCAACTTTGTTGATGTGTCACTCTCTCCTTTATTCTCAGGTTTGTGTTTACATTTGAAAATTTTTGAAATGTTTCTTCTTTACAAAATTTTTAAAATTTGAATTTTCAAAATCATGAGTGGGAAAATGGTTCAAATTATATGGTGGAAGACAGATGTATTAATGACCCACTGCTTTCTGCATGGGTTATTGTTAGAGGTGTTCATCAACCGATCCAAACCAATTCAAACCACGGTGACCGAACCGAAAAATCGATAACCGAATACCGAAAAAGCGAAAATCAAAATAAAAATCGCAAATTTTAATTGGATTGGATCGAATTTCGGATGGGTTGATGAAAACCGATCCAATATATTAATTTTCCTCTATCTACTTGGCCCTTTCCCCAATCATAGCCCAAAAATTTCTAAACCCAAGACCCATTAATCCATCAACTAAACCTAAGAAAAAATATATTCACATCTCATCAAAAAAAATTCGTCTGTGTAGAGCTTCATATCTCATTGCCCAAAAAAAAACTATATTATCGTTTGTTGATGTTTTTGTATTTCAAAAAAAAAAATTTACAAAGCCAATATATACAAAAGATGTTATTTTCACAATAATAATGAAACAAATTTTAGGATTTTCAAAAAATCGAAAATCGATCCTGTCCAAACCGAAAAAAATTGGATTGGATCGGATTTGAAAAAAAAATTCCAAATCCAATGGATGATTACATGATATTTGCTTCCAAAATCGATCCAATCCAGACCGCGAACACCCATATTTATTGTGAGGACTAATAATTGTTTTGATCTTTGGAAATACATTTTTTAAAGGACAAAAAAATTGAAAAATTCAAATTATTCGTGTATTTTGAGGTGTTGTTTTTTAAGATTTAATCGATTAATTGATCATGTAATCGATTAAAAAAGGGCAAAATGATGTATAGTTTTGGAATGAGGGCAAAATAGTTATTATTTAATTAAACCAGCCAGTTCGAACTGGAAACCAGTAAACCAGTCATGTGACCGGTCCGGGTAGAGTAATAGATCGAAGATGTAAGTGACTCGGCGTGACCCAGTGCGAATCGGAGTGAATCGGCCGGTTTTACTAAAATCGGTGACTCGCCGGGTCAGGAAAAAATCTTGTTTGGGATGAAAGCGAACCGTGTAAACATAGAGAAGGAGAAGGAGGAGACGAAGACGATGAACAAAAAGAAGTCGAAGACACCCTAAAAAGCATCGTGCTGCGGCAATTGAAAAGAAGCCATAACGAAAGAGAGAAAAACTGAAATTTCAAAACTTGCGCAGGAGAAAGAGAAAAGAAAAGAAATTTCAAAACTTGCGCAGTAGAAAGAGAAAACAAGAGAGAGAGAGATTGATTTGCTCAATAAAATCACAATACCATCGGCTGGCTGGTTTTACTTTTTGAATTCTGGTTTTATTTTGGACCATTCATTTCTTATCTATATCTTCTTCTTTTTTAATTTTTTATTATTTAAATTTACAATTCTTTATTGTATTATTTTACTTTATTTTCTATAATGGGTATTGTATTTGTGTTTTTTTTTATTTTGATGCTATAAATATTTATTTTATGTCATAATTTTTAAAATAAAAATAAAAATAAATTTTAAATTTATATATATTTATCCGGTTCAAGCGGTTGAACCGGTGACCCAGTACCTCGACTGGTTCGATCACCGAGCCGGGTCTGATAACATTGATTTACGTATATAATTATGAAATGTGGAAATATAAAATGTAGAGACATAAATTGCTAAAAGTATAAATTGAAAAAAATGTAAATTTATGTAATATTAATTGCTGAAATATAAATTGCAAAAATAGATAACATAAAATAAATTGGAACGCGATATCTCATCGGGATCGATTAGAAGAAGAAGAAGAAAAGTAAAATAAATAACAAAGTGACACTTCCATGAAGTTTACATTTTGGAATAAAGAAGTTATCATCACTCGTAATATTCACTTTTATCTTTCTTATTATAAAGCTTCCTCATCACTCTAAAATTCCTCTCTTTTTCTCTCTTTTTTTCTTAGTAGAGTTTTTTTCTAAATTTTTCAAGACCATACACTTCTTGATTTATCTCAATTTTGAAGCTGCGACTGATGGTTTATCTAACCTCTACTTATAGGAAAAATATTATGATCTTAAAAACTTATCATTTTAAAGGACATATAGTTGTGTCATTTTAAGCAATGTTGTTAAAATCGAGATCTTAAGTAAAATCGGGAGCGGATTAAAAAATCATAAAAAATTGTAAAAACGTAAAATCGTAGTAATAAATCGAGATTTTAACAACAATGATTCTAAGAGAGAAAAAGACACAACTTAGTATTTTTTATTTAAATTTAAATTTAAAAAAAAAATTACCCACTCTGTTTTTCATGATTTTTATTACTTGTGTCTTTCTCTCACTTAAAATGAAATAACTCCATGCCCTTTAAAAGAACAAACATTAAACCCATATTATTTACCTAATAATCATTTAAGAAAACATTCCCAACCAACAAAGCCCAGCACAGTTGGTAGATAGTTGGGTTGCTTAAGCATGCTGATAGGAGTTCGATTCCTGGCCGTGTGTATGGAGAAGGCTTTGTTGACAGAGGTTTACCCACTTAATGTGATCTCCCGCCTCGAAAGTATTAGTCTTCGACTGTTGGCTGAAGGATACCTTGGGAAACCAAAAAAAAGAAAACATTCTCACGTGGATTGTCTTGAAACTTTTTTTATTATAATTTATGATTGATTTATGTATTTTTGGGTGTTGTTTATAATAAAATTATGATTGATTTATGTATTTTGAGGTGTTGTTTATGGTAATTAATGATTTATTTATATATTTTTGGAGTGTTGTTTGTGATAATTTATGATTGATTTATATAGTTTGGAGTGTTGTTTACAATTATTTTGTGATTGAATTATATATTTTGTAGTATTGTATAAAATAATTTTGTGATTGATTTATATATTATTATTATTGTTATTATTTTAATGGTTTTACAAATTGCATCTAATAATCCCTCTTTCGATTGTTCTCAGCCATTGAGTATGCGATCACAATGAAAGAACAAAAAATGTAAGGAAGAAATGAGAAGGAGAGAAGAAGAAGAAGCAAGCAGAGAAAAAGACGAAGAGACAAGAGTTTCCAATAATTTTCTCTGTTTTCTCAATATCCAATTTCTTATATATATTTAGTATTTCTTACATGAATTAACAAAAGCATAATTCCACAAATAACATAGCCCACACTATTCATTATTCCCAACCATTCCTATAACTGTTTGTATTGACTTTTTAAGAAAGTTCTTTTTATGACTTCTTCATTTTAAAAATATTTTTTATAAAAGCTACAACTATTTAGATTTTTAAAAAAATATTTGATTTTTGAATAAAATATTTGGCTTGACTTCTGTTTTTTTTTAAAAGCTAAAATTTTTAGGTTCCAAAAAAATTAAGTTTTTGACTTTTTTTATGATTTTTGTTTTTTTTTAAAAGCAGAGGCATCTAAACAGATTTTTCTCGAGAAAATTTTTTTTCTTAAAAAAAGCAACTTTTGAAAAGAAAAAAAATCACCAAAACTAATTAGTGCCAAAATTCTTTTATATATTCTTTTTTTAAAAAATCACCAAAACTAATCACCAAAACTGAACCATCACATTACAGTTCTAGTTCTAGATGTAGTGATTAGAGTGGGTTTGGAAAAATTATTAAAAATTATTTGACTTTCTACTTTTATTTTTTGTTTTGCTTTTAAACAAGGATCTGATATCATTTTTTTATTCTACTTTTTAAAAAAAATTGCTAATTGGCTATTTAAACACATAAAATGACTGAATTTTTTTTTTAAAAAAAACCATGTGCTTAATGGGGGTATCAAAAGAGTTTTTTTAAACTATAAATTATTTTTAAGTTAAAGCTAAAAAAAACTCAAAAAAAATTAAAAATTATTTCATGATTATATAAATTTTTTATCTTAAAAAATTTATATTTTAAGAAAAATTTCTTTATCTCTGTGACTTTTCAAATTTATTATAAGAATTTTTTAAAATTTATTTACTCTAATTTTTGCTTGTAAAAAGAGAATGGAAGGTATAAAAGACTTTATTCTTCCTTATAAAAAAAAAAAAAAAAAAGAGTATTTTCAATGTAGGAGCTATTATCAAAATTTGTTTGGCCTTATAAAGAGAAGAGAGGCGCCAGGTAATGATAAGTGCTTTGTTTTAGTCCATTTTCCTACTAAATCCTTCGACTAAGAGTGACTACAGTTTCGATCAATCTAGCAACGGTGACCTAATTTGGGGTTTCCTTGATTTTCATCGTTTGTGCCCTTTATTGAAGGAAGGTATTGGTTTCATTCCTTGCTCAATCTTTTACCTTTTTTGAAGTTGTTATTCATATTGATAAAATAGGTTGATCTTTGATTCTCTATTTCGGTCTGTTGTTGATGATATATCCTTGACTTTTGCAAACTATGAATCTTGAGTTACTTGTGATTCTAACAATAGTTCCTCTTTTTTGTTTTTATAATCATAGTTTTAATAATATTTTGTTATGGCTATGATTTGATGTCTAGTTCCTTCTCTGGGTATGTTGAATTTGGCAAAAGTTCTTTTTTGTTTTTTAAGCAAAAGATTTTTAAGTGTTATCTTTGTTTTCCACCTTTTCTTTTTGGATCCAGGATTCGATTTTTGTTGTGTAATTTGAGCTTGTCATTGTTGTACTGAATTCAGTGGCTTCCTCAGTTGGGATTCTCGTCTTGGTTGTTCATAGCTGTTTTTAGGTTTTTATTCATCTGACTCTGTTTCTGCTTTTACTCCTTTTCTTATAAGTGAATGAGTTTTCAATGTACTTTTCGGTTTGTTGATTTGTTTTATAATTTCCGATATATGTTTGCTTGTATTTTTGTTATTAGTTGAAATTCTACTTGATACATTTTCTGTTTATAGGTGCTTCGATTGGTCTTCTAGGTTGGCTGTTTATTCTGTAATAGAATTAGTCTTGTTTAGTCTCAAGAGTCATGACATCATGTGCATTTTGTTTGTAGTTGATTTTGAAGAGGGATTGACTGGTTGTTTGCTTTCCGTAGGTGAAAGTTAAATATATATATATATAGCCTTTAAAGTTTGAGGTTCATACCTTAAGATTTAGGACGATTGCTTTGTTTTGCCAATTAAGAATTTGTATAGGTTCTCTTTGAAAGTTGGCTTGTTACTGTGATGATAATTATTGAATATTGATGATGAGGCATTGGCAAAATATACCTTGAGACTTTTTTTTTTGGATACATGTACCTTGAGACTTTAAAATGGTATATTATGGAAATAATCTGACTGATGGGCTTATTGTGTAGGGTGATTTTGAGTTGATTGAATATTAATTCTTCCCCCAAAAAAGAACACTTTCTTTTTTATTTTATTTTTAAAAAAGAGTTGAACTTGAATGGTTGAATGAATAATTAAGGCACTAATTGGTTGCTGGTTAATGGCAGAATTTGTAACATTAATCAAAATGATCATTTGCATCAACTGTTATTCATGGCTTGTAGTAATGCGTTATTGAACTGTATGCATGTTTGCTGCTAAATGGGCCTTGAGCATTTCCTGTGATGCCATCTTGTATAATGTTTGAAGTGGGGAGCATAATTTTTTTTAATTTTGAAACTGCTAGTTATAACTGATTTTATTATTAAGTTTGTATCTATACCTCAAAATCAGGAGAGTAGGCTTGAGATTTCCAAATTGATTATGGTAAGGTTGTGGTTTGATTTTATCATTTTTCCTTCCCATTTGTTTCATCAATGGATACCCAAACTAGTTCAGCTGTTTTGTTCCCCATAGTTTATACTGTGTTCTCCTCCTGTCTTTATTGGTTCATTCTGTTGTTCAATGGTGGATTTACATTTTGAAGTTCTTTCCTGGATGAATAATTTGTTTCCATTTGGAATGCAATTGCTGAATCTATAAACCTGTTAATAAACAATTAACAATTTTCTTTTCCTGCAAGTATTGAATACGTTGAAATAAGAGAATGCTTTCTAATTCTATCGAAGCTCTTATTATTGGAATTTGTAAGAAACTATGGGTGTTTGTGACAGTTTTGCAATCCTTTTGATTTGCTTTCAAATTGTTTGCGGGATTCTGAATGTACATGTTATTGCGTTATACACTATATCACCACCTATAATTGTAGGCTTGTAGCAGTGCAAGAAGTGATATTTGCTAAATTAGAGGAAAGAAAATGCTTTTTAAAACCTTTTTAGTATTCTTGTGTTTAGTCTTATTACATTTTCTTTTCCCTTGATCATATTTCTTTTTTATTCTCTAGAACAATGGCTAGCAAAATTGAAGGTGATCATCACAGGGAACCAATAAATGAACAAGCAGTTGCAAATATGTATGCAGCTATGAGGTCTGAACTCAACCAAATTTACTCAAAAATCACTGAACTGGAAATGGAAGTTAGTGAGCACTCATTGGTTGTTAATGCCATTCAACCACTTGACCCATCTAGACGATGCTATCGCATGATTGGAGGGGTGCTGGTTGAGAGAACCATCAAGGAGGTCTTGCCTGCTGTGCTGCGCAATAAAGAGGGACTTGAAGAGGTTGTTGCCAGGCTTAACGAGGCATTGGAAAAGAAGAAAAAGGAAATTGTTGAGTTTGAGGCTAAATATAAAATCAGGATAAGGAAGGCTGATGCTGAGGTAAAAGATGAATCTGGTAGGAAGGAAGGTTCTGCTCAAGGAGTTCTTGTGGGCCCTGCAAGTGGAAATGAGTGATAGGTTTAACTGTATTCCATTTTCTTAAAATGTTAAGTTAAAATCTTCTTCACTCCTCTGCTTTTTTCTGAGTTCAAACAATCTGATGTTTTGTTTTTAGTGATTAGTTTTAAAGACATGACATGATCTTATGTCCAATTGCTTTGGGATGAACAACTGTTTGTGCTTTTATATTTGAGCAAACATTTGTAAGAAACTAATCTTCACACAGGCAAGAGCTCATGTAGAATCTGTATGCAAGTCTAGAGCATATAATTACATGACCTAGTAATTTTCTCTACCATATCTGATGTATTCTATGACAAATGCTTTCTAGAAGTGTCTTTTGTTAAGTTCTTTTCAAGAAAATGCAGAACAATTTCATATCAAAATATTGACACAACAATATCTAACTTGAAACATAATTTTTGAAAGCGTAGATGAAAGGCGCCTTTTTATTCTACATGTTGTTAAAAAGTTGGCTCCACATGCTACTGTAAGCAACTTTGTGTTCTTGTGGGAACCATTTGTACATGATGGAATGTGCCATCTATTGCATTATGGTTTCAAACAATATTTGGAGATAGTCTAAAATCAGGAATGCAAAAATGATAAATTAATCCAACCACAAATATTTATGACTGCAAGAGTATGTTCTTGGCTTTTTGACTAATGTAGCGTTTATTTAATAATTAATTACAAATTCGCCTTTCAATCAAAATATATCACCCATCTGCTCCTGTTTTACTGTGCACAACCTAAAATACCCGGGTATATAGGCGGTTACCAGGGTATAATTTGAAAATTTCACTCTACCCAGGTAGGCAAGTGGGATACCCGGGTATTGTTCAAAATATGGAAAATGGCTTGAATTATTTACCTGAGTAGGGAGGGGGATACCCGGGTAAATGTCACGGGTAGGGTTTTTAAATAACTCAGTAGCCCCCATTTGCAAAACCCAAAAAGGGGTACCCGGGTAGAGCTGCTGGAAGTGCGTATTGGTTGTTTCTTTGAGCACATTGGTTGGATAATCTTGCTCTTTTCGGATCATCCTTCGCGCACATTATTGATACAATGTAAAATGCATTCGGATCATCCAAGAAAGGTATTTTTTTTCCTTTTGAATTTTTGATACAATGTAAAATGCATTCTCACTTTGATCGGTTTGACACATTGATGTGAAAAATTATTGCATTTTAGTAATAGATGTTTTAAACATTGCATTCTGATTTGTTGCATTTTAAAAACCCTAACCCTAACCTTGCAGTCTGATTCTGATTTTGCATTTTTTTTTTTTGCTTCACAGTGTGACTGCATGGTCGCGTTTCGAAGAAGAGAGCAGTGGATACCGAGGGGAGGACCAAGCGCCGACATGATGGGTCGTCATCCTCTCAGCCCCAGGCTGCTGAGCATCAGACTCCGGACTTGCCGTTTAGATATTTATTTGAGGATGACACTGATGCACACGAGAGGTTTGTGAAGTCTTTATCAGCCGCAAGATTTGCGAGTCGAAATCACTAGATTCGGCCTTCTTTAACTTGGAGCAGTTCAACATTGTGCCACTTCTTCAGCGGACACATTTGCTGGTGCTTGAGGAGATGAAGTGCCCGTATTTGGAGGTTATGGTGAAAGCATTCTACCAGAACCTCAACTATGTACATGGCGAGCTGACTTCCCGTGTCTGCGGGATTGATATTATCCTTACTGCTCCTATCTGGATAAAGCTACTGGGCTTTGACTTTGATGGTCTAATAGATGCAACACTGCATGACGGAGACTTCCATCATATATTTGGTGGTTATGATCGGGAGACCATTATTGCGGAGACCAGGAAAGCAGATGCAGAGGCTGGACAATTTGCTCATTATCCTGTGAGCAATTTGTCTGTGTCTGCCCGCATACTTCATTATGTGGTCACACACATTACCTTCCAGCGCGGTCATAATCACTCGAAAGTGCTGGAAGGTGACTTTGTGATTTTGTGGGCCCTCCTGCACCATATTCAGGTGAACTGGAGGCACTATATATGCATCCTGATGTGGAAGGCGGCCAAGTCTAGGAAGGCTGAATTGCCTTTTGCATTCCTAGTGCAGAAGATTTTGCACAAATTTGGTGTGCCTATGGCAATTGAGACACTGGAGATAGCCACAGGATGTAATGCCATATTTGGTGAGCGTCTGCTGAAATAGTGTGGGATCTTGCTTCAGTGACGATCGGATATTAGACAAATACCTTGCCTATGTGTGACATGAAAACGTATAAGGCTAAGAAACCAGGACCAATCTTTCAACTTCTCACCTGGAGGAACAACAAAGGCAATAGACAGCAGATATCCATCTTCATCCTGTGACGTTGCAATCAAAAGAGTTCATTTGTACTTCCCATATAGATTAGTGTCGTCAATTTGAAGTATAGGCTTACAGTATTTGAATGCTTCAATGCATTGGTGAAATGTCCAAAAAACCCTATGAAATATGGCCCTGTCTGTATAAACCCAACGTTCGTCAAAACATTGATTCGTATCAAGCTTGAACACAGAACCCACATTCACCTGCGTCATGTACGTCAGCTAATTGGGCAAGAATCCATACGATTTCTCCCAGTCACCATATAACTTCACAATGACCTTCATTTTTGCCTTCCAAGCCTTCCTGTACGTTATGTTGTATCCATATATGTGTTGTATCCTCTCTTGATTCTGAACTGGTTTTAAAGCTGGATCTTCCTTTAACATATTTGTAAAAAAAAAAAACCAAGTTTAGAGTATTTTCATAAAGCAATTTTCATGAAGTACACTGTACAATACATACTCATAATAGCCGCATAAATGACATCTGAATTCAACTGTCTATGATCCTGTGCTAGGCCCTGATTCAGGCAGGTGTGATCTTGGCCCCATTTACGGACCACCCACTTAGTTCCCTTCTTGGGCTTGGTTTCCCTCATATACCAGGGACAACCATCAGCATAGTTTCTACATTTCATCACAGATCTGGACTTGTCGCTTTTTTCGACTATGGTTGTCTTGCGCCTCTTCATACAATGTATCTTAATATCATGTTGCATTTCAGATTTGGAGCCAAATTCTTGTTGCACAAATAACAGATCTCCTAACTTCCAACCTCCGTGCAAGTTATCATCCCCATAGAGGATCTCCAACTCATCATTAGGGTGCGCCTATGGGTGTAAATAGGCTAGGCTAGGCTTTGACTTAAATAGGCCAAGCCTGTGTAAAAATTATTGTGTCTGGCCTAGCCTGTTAGCCTGTGTAGGCCCTAAATTTCAAGACTGGTCTGACCTATATTTAAAAATAAAAGCCTTGGCCTAGGCCTGTTAGCCTGTTTAAGCCTATTAAACATTCAACAATTAAAAGAATAACTAAAATAATATTACTTTATTATTCAAATTTATTAAAATAATAATTTTATTTAAAATAAATAATATGATATAGGCCAGCCTGTAGGCTTAAATGCTCGATATGTACAAAAAAGTCTGTGGCCTATTTTCTAAATAGGTTTTTTTAAAAGCCTATGCCTGTTCTATTTTACTATTTGTAGCAGGCTAAGCCTGGCCTAATATAGGCTAGGTCGTAGGCTGGCCTAGCCCATTTACACCCCTAGGTGCGCCCAATTAATGAATGAATAATATTGGCTTTCATTCCAAAATGGCTCTACCTCAGTCCCTGGCCCTGCATCGAAAGCATGATTATTATTGTCTGAAAAGCAAACCACCGCAAATATTAATTGTTCACTACAAATTAAAATTTAATAACTTACCACTACTAACTAGGTCAACATGAAGTGGTGACATGGCTGGGGTATTCAGGCTTACAGCGTTCATGTCAGCGTCAAAATTTTCGTCCACGTCAGTGTCTAACGAATCACCTTATGGAATAGCACTTTCAGGTTCTCCCTCATCTTCGCTGTCCACATACTCCTCCTCTTCATCCTCCTCATCCTCATCCAATGTTATCTGGCTTAACACCTGAACAGGTGCAGATGAACATACAACTGTATCTTCTTGACAAGGACACTGTGCAGTGGTTGTATGCATCAGTAAAGATGAAGACTGACCAACATCAACTTCAACATATATCTCAATTAATTTTAGTACTTTCCAGCCAACAAACGCATCTGTGACGAACTCCACATCTTCATCATCATCATTAATATCATTACCAATGTAGTATATTGTATCCATATCCACTACAGTCTCTAACTTGCCTATCATGCGGTGAATTGATTGGATGCCTTCTAACCCCAATTTTTGATGAATTCTCTCCTTCAGTTCATTGCATGTAGTGCCCACTTTGATTTTTCATCGTTTTTATTTTTCCTTCAAATCGGACACCGTTGGGACCTTCAAAATGCCTCCCATTATAGTAAATAACTACAAGAAATATGTTTGGACTTGGGTTTTGGTTCAGATTTTTGAGGAAAAATGGGAATATGGAGGTGTAATGCCAATGTCCTCCCAAGATTAGGCTTATTGAGATGATGGGATGAAATACATGTATGATGGTTGAGAATAGAGATGACAAGGGAGAGAGATTTGGGAAAAAAACGTATAACTCATAATAATGGTTGAAACCCATTGATATTGGGGTTTCTGGCCGACAAATACCCAGGTAACTGGGTCTGTACCCGGGTAAATAACTGCATACCCGGGTATCTGGGTGACTTACCTGGGTAAAAACTCAACTTATGTAAGAACAGTTATATTTCGCAAAATATACCCAGGTAAGGAGGGGATACCCGGGTAGCTTAGGGGTCAACGGTCAAACTGAGACAGATTGATGTTATGTTTATTGAAAATGTTAAATTTTTGGAATAGTTTATAAGCAAGTTCAATTTGGTAATTAATTATTAAATAAAGGCTATAATGGTCAAAAAGCTGTAAATTCTCAGTATATCCCTTGTGCTTGCAAGAATCTCCTTCTGAGGCAGAGCATTTCATTGCTCGAACAAAAGACTGTTCAACAGGCATCATTCATTCCATTCCATGTTTACCTATCCAGCATAGGTCTCTGTTTCTACTTATATGTAAAGCAATTGATAGTCTTTGTGATGCGACCCCCCTAACACATTAATTTGATGGATTTGACCAGAGTTAGAGGTGAAGACTCCATTTTGCAGAAAATACTGATTCCATTGCCGTAGCTGTTCAAGCAAATATGAGAATCATATCTCACTACCAATTTAACTTTGAACTAAGAGTTGCACAATTTGAGCAATTCCTTTCCATATTCAAGTTGCAATGAGGGGGTTTCTTGATGTACCCTTCAATATTACTATTGCC